AAAAGCAACCAATCTGATGTCCTGTACTGATGCTGCTTGGCCCGTGCCTACGCAGTACAATGGGACAAGGAGTTCCCTAGACTCTAAGTTGCCTTACGCAGAATGAACAGCCTAAGAACCTGCAAGAGTACCCAGGGACTTGGGGTGGGGCTGCTAATGCCCTATCTTTTTATACGGGCAACGTGGGGCTACACAGATTTTCTTGTCCATGGGTAGGTGAGTGGGCCCTGGAACAGTTCCTCAGAGGCAACTGCCCATTAACTACAGGAAGACAGGAAAGTGGAGAAGACACAGCATTCTAAACTACTCAACGCAAAATAGTCACTGAGGCTTGTGGATGTGAAATTGCGATGGCTTTTAATGACACAGTACCTATGTGCCCATGCACCAGAAGTAGCTCGTCGATAGGCGTGATGGAGGGTCCAAGCCTCTGGCTTCCGGTGACTATAGCTTTATGAGCCACTTCTGAGATCTATAAAATGGTACTGGATGTGTCTACCGCATGGGCATGCTGGGGAAGTAAGATGAGATTCCCCAGCAGAAGCCTAAGAAACATTTCTACTAAAAAAGATTCCAAAAAGAGATCATCTTTTAGGGCAGCAGCTGAAACTACTTCCAGGATATCAAGGAAAATTTAGTTAAAATTTAGTAAAACTGGATGAGAACGTAGTAGATACTATCAAATGAAGTTTTCTTTTATTCACTTTTATTTAGACCCATGAAAATGTTAATATTTCTACATTACAATTTCTTTGTCTCTCAGTAGGTACAGAGATAACCAAACTCAATACTTTTACTTAAAAATAACTAACTGAAACATTTTAGGCCATTGAGAGAGAGTTAGACATGATTTAATTTCTCTGCCTAACTTTGCAGATAACAAAACACTTATATGGGTCTATCATGTATTCTCAAATGAGATGAGATTTGGAGTTGGGTGGTAGAAAAATGTGTTTCAGGTTAAGATACGTAAATATATACTATAGAAACATATGTAGTAGATTTGTGGCATTATTACTTCATGGTGGGGTACTTAGGAAATAATTTTTTTTCTAAAAAGTCTCCCATAATCAGGCATGGTAGTGCCCATCTATAATCCCAGCACTTGGGAGGCTGAGGCAGGAAAATCAGCATGAGTTGGAGGCCAGCCTGGGCTACATAGCAAGAACTTACCTCTAAAAGGCAAAAAACAAAGAAAGAAGTTTACCTTAAAGGAGCCATAGTGAAAAAAGACCAAGAAAGCCTAGACCAGTCTTAAATGAGGATCCAAGCATCCTCATTAAATAGGACCTCAGCTAAGTGGGGCACAGCAAGGGCCACAGGAGACCTGAAGTCCCGCAGTTCTGCACGCATGCCATTCTCCTCTAACAGTGACCGTGCGCAGGTGTCAGCTGATGGCCACGGGAGGACCTGCAGTGTTCTAGCAGTAGGTGTTACGATTCTGCAAATCCTGTGCAGAAGTAAGGGAAAACTTGATCTCAGATATACTTATTCTGGAACGGAAGGAGGGGCTTGGTGGCTTCCGGTGAAGGAGGCACCGGGGTGACGACAGTTGGGATGCAAGTGGTAGCTGTGGAACCTGAAGGTCTTGTGACATGGGCAAAAGGGAATGATCAGATCTGAGGTGACTGGAATCTTACCGTTTCTCGTCTCCCAGCAGGTAGCAGTGAGCATGCTGCCTTGAGGCCAGCGATGGCAGCTTCAGCAAATTCTTAAGGCCCGACAGAACCAGTGAAGCGACTAGACTCTCATTGCATAACCTCCCCCAAAATGCAGGAGGCGTCCACTGTATTTCCTAATACGGGAGTCTAGTTAATCGTAGCATTCCCAAATGCAAAGAACTCTAGACATCATTCTAGCCTCTTGGTGTATGCATGGGAAATCACAAATTGTGACCTAGTTTCTTTTTGAGAATGATCTCACAGAGCTGTGTCACAATTGCTCAGCAATAAGAGAACACATAGTTTAAGCGAGGCTGAAAAGGTCACTGGAACTATTCCTTAGGGTTTTCAAATATTAGAAGGTGAGAACTCCAATATTAGTTTATGACCTATTGTAGTTTGGGCCAGACCCCTGAAGACAGGAAGGCGAGCTCCATGATGGTTTGGTGTTCAAAGTGTTCCTGAGTTCTCGTGTGACACGGGCACAGAAATATGACAGCCAGGGCTGGCCAAATAACTCAGAGGATTAAAGCACCTGCAAACAGGCACAAGAGCCGGAGGTTCAATCCCTGGGCCTGCCATGCCAGCCCCGCCCCCAGGGCACACTGAAATGGCAATTGAGACTGGGCGTGGTGGCACGCGTCTGTAATCCCAGCTCTTGGGAGGCTGTAAACAGGTGGATCACTAGGAGTCTGATCTAGTAGTGACACACTGAACACCCTGGGGACCCTTCCCTAAAATACAAGGGGGAAAAAAAGACAGCCAAAGGGCCTTTTTCCCATATGTAAACAGAACACTTAGAATTTTTTAATAAACACAGATGCTTAAAATAGAATGGAATTTAGATAAACAAGACATTTGGTTGTTAAAGCACCTACAGCCATACAGAGAAAGCTGAGATAGCAACATGGCTAACATAAAAAGCCAATTTTGGGGACCTAAAAAAGCCATTTTGGTTAATCGGAAATTCCTAAGAGTTTTCGATGATGTCTAAGTAGAGTAGTAAAAAACTTTCACACTGAAGTTCAAGAGCAGTTTTAAAAAGCTCACATTGGGTTTCAGCACACGTGATTTGTTAATTTGATGGCTGTCCTTTTAGCAGTGATCAAAATGGAATAAAGTAGCCTTATGTCAACTGCATGAAAGAAAACAGCTCTTGGAATGCCTCACCCAAGCTAAAACATGGAGACTCGTGGGTTGGGCAGAGGAGAAAAAGTCTGCGACACTGGAACAGAGGTACAGTCTAGAGACTAAACTGGTCTTCACAGCTTTTTCATTGCATAGAGTCCAATTCAGCTAATTCTTGGCATGAAGAGCCTAAATGATGTTTCAATCATCTATTCGAAAAATTGGGGCTGTGAGAAGCAGAGCTGCTTAACTACTAGAATAGGAGGAAAAGCGGAGGTTCTTAACTATTTCTGGCTTAACCCAAGAAAATTAAACTAATAAGTCCTTTAGATAAATACTATCTAGTCACCAATAGCTATCATAAAATAGGCCACTTTCTCAAAAACAAAATGTGTGGCATTAGAGCATTTACCCATCAACACTATTAACGTTTACACGTCTAAGCAACAGAAACAGGACTATTGCTATACTTTGAGGTTCTCCAAACTATAACATGTAACCATTCAATATGTATCTAACATTGAAATTATCAACTTTCAGCAATCTTAATGCTAAAGTGATGACCTTGCTCCGTATGCGCAAGTAGCTAAGAATTTTAAAAGGAAATTGAAACACACAACTATAAAATGTGCTTACTTGCCAATTAGCCACAGAAAGGTTTAGAATGGTTTGATGATTACCAAATAAGAACCCTTCCCCAAACCCTTCTTGTAAAGTCTTCCATGTAATTGTGAATGATGCCCTAACATAAAGGCCACATAGAATCATAAATCCTCAGAAAATTTCTATTGCTTCTCTCACTTTGATCTTCCACTGAGCAAGGCTAGGGCTTCTTGAGGGCTTTATAACAACAATGCCATTTGTCATAAAGAATCATATGTTACGGCCTCACAGGGAGTGAAAGACAAGGGTTGAGGGGATGGTAAGGAAAGGGGTGCTACCCACAATTAAAGCTGCGAGATGCTAAACTCCATTATGAAGACAAATAGGAACGTACAGCTTCATTGTTGAAAACAATTTCCCTCCTATCAGTCCAAAGGTTCATGCCTCAGTATTGTAGATGAACTGTTAATTACAAAATCAATTAAAAATTATTTCTAAAAACAGTCACGCAGCCCTTGCTCTCTCGGGGGCAATTTGGGCAGAAGGTCTCGTCTCACTAGGACCGCGCCAAATCGCAAAGTCGTCATCCACAAGTAAGCAAAAGCAATCTGGTTTTTCATTTTTCAGCGCGGCTGAGCCCAGCCTGAGATTGATCGTCACATATGGCCCCAGAAAACAAACTGTCAATACCTTGAATGCTGCAGAATTTGAACAAATAGCCGCCTGCCCATTCAAGCCACTCATTGCATCCCATTTAACAGATTTTATTGACAGTTTCCTTCTTGTAATTAAAGGGAAAACTACTGGCCAGCAACCAAGATAAAGTTCAAAGATAGGGTCAAAACAAAAGCAGACGGAGGGGCACGGTGTGATTGTCAGTGGCACCAGCATCACAGCCTGTTATTGACACACAGGTATCTAATGATCGGCACGCCATTAAGGAGGGATCTATCCTGAACTTATGCAAATGATGAGTGAGACTTTGGATCACCATAAAGCATTCCGAGGGGCACAAAGGGGACAACAACAAAGCAACAACGATTTTTACTTATCAGAGGTTGCTCTCTATTTTCACACACTCCAGTTCAAAGGCAAAGACCATTTATCCATTATTCTTAACCCTTGCTGTGTAGGTGGAGCCTGCAGGTCCAGAATGGAAAAGATGGAGAATGCTTTGATAGGCAAAAGAAAAGTAACAGTACATGAATCTTCCCCACTGTAAAATTTGTATTATTGAGAAGAAAGCCGTTTGGGCAAATCCATGTCTCACTGACATGGACTTGTGTCTAGAAAACAATGTGGTAAATTCTGTCCCAAGGCTGTGCAGGGCACCATGCCCACAGGAGCTTCTGGTTTGTGACAGCCCAGATCAGTAAACACAATAGGGAGGAAAAGTTTTACAGCTTTCTTTCTATAAGCTAGTAAAATGAAATCACTTTTCTTTAAGAGTATCTTTCTCCTTTCTAACTTTTCACTAGAAAGCTTACTGAGAGTAGTTTTGCTGACTCACATAGAATCTGCAAACTAGGTCTGGCAAATTCCTGAAGTTAAGAGAAAGGGTAAGACAGACATTAAAAAATGCAACCAGCACCACGCGCATATGCCAACCTGAATTAGCGAGAGCTATCGCTTTGAGGGTGACAAATTCTTCCTTCTCCAGCTTCATGCTCTTGTATTTCTTTACCAGCTGCAGGATAGCGTTATTGAGGTCAAGAAGCCCTGCCAGTTTGGACTGGTCTTCGTCCATTATATAATCGTCTGCATAGACAAGTTCATCCTCAAACGAAAGCGATCGGTATACGACCCCGAGGATCAAAATTTCCATCCAAGCACTTTGCAGGAGGCTCATCTGGTCGGCCAGGGACAGCGTGGAGAAGCCTGCACGGGGAGATGGGCAGAGCAGGTTACAGTCCAGCATCATTTCATAATGCAATGTTAGCTTCCTGTGCACTCAGCTTCTGCACCTCAGCTCAGAAGGACGCTCCGCTCTGCCTAGAAGCCCTTCCCACGTCAACCCTCACCTCCGGCTTCCCATCACACCGTGGACAGCAAAGGAAGACAGCTACTTTGGTACTCTTATAGGTTTTATAGCCACGGCTGAGGGGACTGTACTACAGGCGTAGTGCTCTTTCTTTTGCTCGCAAAGCAAAATACCACATAACCTCAATATTGGCTGTCTGCCTGACGTTTTACAAATGTGTTACATGAAGCCAGATTTTCAACTACCTGATTTTGAAAAACTAGCATCAGTGAACACAATAAAAGTAAAACAAAACAAAGCCAAACACAACCCACAGGGGAAAATGAGCAGCTCCGGCCCCTCAGTATGTCTGGGGGGATCCCTCTCCGCAATCATCTTAAGGGAGCGGATCGGGCAACCAGGCGAGATGGCTGATTATTTCTTCTCACTAATACTTGCTAGGAATTTCTTTTTAAAGTAATTATTACTCCTCAGTTCAATCCCAGGTACTGCAAATAAAGAAATAAATAAATGAAATAATCATTACTGGTTCAAAGAACATCTGAGTACTCAGGAAGCTGGTCTCCTCATCAAACAGGAAAGCCACAATTTATTTGTGCTAGTGAGGTTCAACTTAGCCAAAATGTTAAATATAAAAATAAGTGGGTAGAGTGGACCAAACATGAAGAGATCCTGAAGCGAGCATCTCAATGCCAGCTAGTTCACCCCAGCAGGTCACCCCCGCAGGTCTGTTAACTTAGACACTAATATCTGCAGTGGGCAGTCAAGCCTCCACTTACACACTAGTGTATAACGCTTATTGAGTGTTTTATCGTGCTTTACACTCTTTTTTGTTGTGGTGGTGGTACCAAGGATCGAACTCAGGACCTTGTGCTTTCCAGGCAGGTGCTCAGATCACCGAGGTACCTCCTGAGCCCCTGTACACTCCTCTTTATCTGGCTGGTTACATACACACATGTGCATCTGAAGTTCCTTCTAAGCCTCAGAAAACACGTGCAAGTAACGGAACTTTGATAAGAATACTGTTCTGTGAGGAAAGACAAAGCAACACCGCCCAGTCTACTCCAGAGCGGAGATTTGCATTCTGACCCCACGGGGCCAAGATCTGTATTCTAAATGAAATCTTCCATGGAGATACCCAAGGGTCAAGTGCTTCTTTCAAGGATCCTAAATAAGAAATATTTTTCTGCTAAGGAAGCGTATATGTGAAATTCCAAGAATGACCAGCCGCCCCACAGTTCATGAAAGCAACCGTGCCAAGATTCAGCCCTGCCACCAGCCCTTCCACAGAATAGGGATCACTTTGGATAGTGCAACTGAAGGAATCGGTCCACGCACACTAGCTTTGCTAGGTTCCTATGTGTGATTACTGTCATTTTGACGCATATCAAAGCATGCCCATCCGTATGATATTAGAAACTTCAGAACAAGACATAAAAGGAAATGATTTCCTTGCAAATTTGTGCAAATTATTCATCAGCCACTTAGTACCCCAATGTATAAGTGCTTAATAAAATCAAAGATATCCATCCAGCTTTGGGGTGGGGCTTCCCAGCCTGCGTGCAAGGCCTTTCCTTCGTTGTCCTGATGCTTACGTGTTATTTGACACGGGTCTTTCTGGTCTAGATGTAGCCTTATTTTTCTTCGCATTGTTTTCTGCCACTGTAATGTGGACTTCAATTAATAAATATCCTTTTAAAACTAGAGATGAACTAACTGATAGCATTTTGAATAGAGATTCAAAAAGGAAATATGAAGACCTAAGAAAGGGTTTGGATCCAGTCAAAACAAGGAAAGACAATGCCACCCCTCTCTTTTGCTAGCCTGCTGCTCCTAACAGCACTCACTCTCCTAAGAAAGAGGTGCGACGCAAATCCAGGTATCTACCTCAGGAAGAAAGAATAAGGATTTCTTTTGCAAAGTCAATCAACGAAACATGCACAATGGTCCGGAAGGTTAGGACCGAGCAGAAGCGGGCTGAGTTGGCCCTGGCTTCTGTCCTCCCTTGCAAGCTAGGAGCAGCAGCTCCTCAGCTGCCACAGATGGGCCGAGAAGCCCATAGCCCACGGCACCTCGTGACAGCACAATTCTCCCTCCCAGACACCGCTGTTAGTAAATAGATTTACACATTCTCCAATCTCCACACATCTTTCTGCCGAATAATTAAAAGCAGGATGATTAGTTTATTGAGTGGAAGGAGGAACTTTTTTATTGAGGTCCATCCACGATTTTATCAGGGCCAGCACTTTTACGGTTGTCAGGGGGTGCGGGCATCCAATTTTTCTTATCTGCCTGATTAATACAAACGCTGTTTCAGGACGCATTAATTAACAGATACAAATCTACGTTCTCATGGAACGATCAATACGGAGAAGAAAAGAGGCATCAATGTGAATTTAGTGCCGATGATGGAGAAGGCCCGCTATCGACATTTACGTGCACGGAACCTTTAAAGTTGCACCGGGGCCCCTTTGTCCCTGTGATTTAGAAATGAACAATTTTGCAGCCACAATAATGTTTCGCACATCTCTTCGGGGTTTAATTAAGCAAAAAGCAATAAAATTTCATTTTTTAAGGCTGCTTCTGCAACTTGATTTTGTGAGTGCTTTATCCTTTCTACAAACCCAACTTTTCTCCTTTCATTTCTCCTTGAAATAAAGAACAGGGAGAAAAGCAAAGGTGAGAGAAGGGTACTTTTTCTTTCTTTTCTTTTTTTAATCAGGAAGCAGAGGGAGATGGTAGCCGTGCAGCGGAGATGGCGAGCTGACTGGCCCTCTTCGAGGGTCCTTCCAGCTGAGGGAAGGAAGTGTAATTTGTAGGGAAGAAGGAGGATGGTCTATGCCTCACAAAACAAAATAAAAGTCTGGATTGCTATCGCTTCTTGGTCTGGAAGGAGCTGTCTCTCATTAATCCTTGACCACCCCGAGAGTGCAAGGCGGCACCGACCGCATCCCTGCCCCGACAGCTGAGCAGCACCGAGCCTCGGACTGGAGCACACAGGCACAGTGTCTGCCTGCTTTCTCTTACCGGAGGCACAAATCACAAAGAATAAAATCAAAGGCAAATCATAGCAAGTAGCAGGTCTTTTTTCAGGTGGGGAGGGAGGTGAGGGATGGGGGGAGGTGAGGGAAAAGGGATGGGAAAAATAACTGAAGAAAAAGTAATGGAAGTAGCGCTTTTGCAAATGGGAGTCATCTAAGAGTCGGAGGGCACACAGGGGCATGGGCAGGATGCGGACGCGAAAGACTTGAGTTGTGTCCTGCGCGTGCACCGATGTCCCGGGACACACATTATCAGCCCTTGTCATAAACGTGTACTCATAAGAATGCAGAGATTTTATTTTAATTCCATAAAATTAACTTACCTCCCTTTATGATTACTAACTGTATCACACAACCATAAAGATGCATGGACGGCACAATATCCTTATCAATGGACCTGGGAAAAGGAAAGAACCTGTGTGGCTCAGACCTACAGGAAAATGCACATCTTGGTAAACTAGGTTAAGACATTTTTCTAAAAGCACGAGTCGTCTGCTGGGCCACACCAACTTGTATCCAAACAATAATCCCTCATCTGTGCTCTCACCGGGCAGTTAGTGTTTTGCTTTTATAGCTAGCAGCTTACAAGTTAAAGCGCCTCATTGCCCAGAACACTGAGCTCCCTTTGGAGAGAGACCTCTTTCCCAAGTGACATGGAATACACTCTAAGTTCTGTCATTTGAACTTCATGCTTTATATGTTCTGGAATCTTAATCGGGCTGGCTGACAGGTTATAGTTTTAAGTGTTGAGCTGTGTTGCAGCATTTTAAGATACACTGACGCTGTGGCGCATTTTTTCCCCTCACCAGTCACAGTCTGTTCGCTGCATATTCCTGACAACTCTGATCTCTCTGCATCTCTGTCCCAGAGTCACTACTGCTCAATGTATCCCAGGCATTTGGCTTGGCAGGGTGACGCTGCCCTGACTGGGAGTTAAACAGCATGTTCGTCTGCACTACAGTGTGCTCTAAACAAACCCCACGCCATTCGGGGGCAATGTCATTTGGAGCGACCGCAAGCCTTCTAGAGGCAGGGACCCCAGGGGCTACGGGCCTGAGAGCCGGCTCTGCGCAGCCCTCTGCTTTCCTCACTCACAAACTCTGAGGCTCACGGTAGCGCCACGAGGGCTCCTCAAGCACGTTGTTCCCCAGCCTGGCAAACTGATGTACTTCGCAGTCAACTTACAAAAAGGGCTAAGCATCTAAAAGTGTGAAGGGCAAAAACTATCTGATGGCTAGTCTTCAAAAATACACTTTCATTTCAGAAAGCATAAATGTTTATTTCCTGAACAGAGTGCTGACAGAAATAGGCTGCAGCGCAGGCATCTGGGTTTAACCCCTGCTAGGCATTTTCTTCTCAGCTGCTGTCTTGCGACTCACAGCGAGCACTTTAAATCTTCAGGGTGTCTCACAATATCAGCTAAGCATGGCATTGATTTGCCTGCTCAGTTTTTGAACTGTGTTCTGTGTTGTTCCTCAAAAACACTGGTGCTTTTGAACAAATAGCGCATCACACTGGAACCGGAGAAGATAACATAGGCACAGCAAAAGCGAGAGTCCTTTTCTCCCTTTCTGTACACCCAACGTTTACAAGAACCAGCAGGCAAATCATAAGAATGGCACTGAGCTCTGGCATTAGCTGGTGCTGGACAGCCAGGCACGCAACCCTTGCTGCAGGAAAACTCACACTGCACGTCCAAGCTCGTCGCTCTTCTCACTTATGGTCAAATGGATCTCTTGGTCCAAGAATACCAAAACACACAGCTGGTTCTTAACTGCATGTTTTATACTGGCAGCCATGCAAGTGTTGTGTGCATGTGTGTGTGTTCTAGAGACTGTAGCTCACCGGAATACAAC